ATTTTAAAAATTAAATGTAAGTTTCATACAAAGTATTTTAATCATCTTTATATTTAAAAGGGAGTAAAAAAAACTGTTGTGTTAACAGACCATACTCAGAAAAATTCCTCACTTAAATGAAAGCTAAAAAAAAGTATTTAATTTCAAATAAATTAGTCTTTTTTTTATTGAATTAAGTAAAATTATCACCATCAACATAAAATATTCCTATAATATTTATGAATATAAACAGAATATTTTAACTAGCCTAATATAAAATTGAAAAATTTAAATCAGCAGAACTGCTACAGTAGAAGAAATACTGAAAATTCAGCTGCTGTCAGCTTTTTGAGAGCAGAATAATTTTCGTTAAAGGAAATTGCAAAAATTATCGTGAAAAGCTGTGGTACGTGCACGTTTTGATTCCAGAGGGGTTACAGATAATCTGAATACACATATGTAGAGAGCTACACACGCACTCACACACACACACATACACACGATGCCTAGGAGGCTTCAGCCTACTGGCAGGTGTCAGTCAGGCAGGTAACGCTGCTGAGCAGCCATTACCTAATTGAATTTCATGTTGTTGCTGAGTCGAACAATGTTGCCAAAGCACTTTATTAAGCCAGACTGAAACTTAAATAATTATTTAACTGGGATTTGTGGCCTAGATTAACTCTCATTCAGTTAACTAAAAGGATTATTTCAAATGGAAAGAGATACAATTTTTCTAAGCTGTGTTATGTCGCTTTAGTTGTTAGCACCTTTGATTGTATTTGCTTAAAATTAAAGCAGAGTAAACAAAAGACGATCAAAACAACTAAAGTATTAAATATCGCAACTAGTTTAAAGTAAAAATAGCTGCTAAGCTGCTCACGGACTTCCACTAATGAGAACACGTCCGTCAATCAAATGGAACACGCTGTGTCCGAGTCAAACTTGATCTAAATCCGTGTATAGCTATGATCTAATAAGTCATATTGAAATAGAATAGAGTAATTATAATTATATGAGAAATACTCAGATTGCTGCAACTTTATTGTTGAACAGAAATACACTGTTTCCAAAAGGAAGGGAGTATATAATGTCATAGAGTGGCAGCTTATGATTGGAGTGAGAATGCATTTGCCCCCATTCAGAGCAGAGCATCTCGCAGTGGGAGCTAACTGACTCTGGGCACTGTTAATCTCGTCGCTGTAATCGCAGTCGACTTCAATTTACTATTTGCTATTGATAGGCACCAGCATATAGGTCGAACGCATATTGTTGAGGCAGTGTCCATTCAGTTATCTCGTATCGCTGTTCATGTCAAAATGCTTTACTTAGTTGCGCTCGGCGTTGCAGCTGTTCTGTGTTACATTCTGCTGGCGCGAAGAAATGCTCGCCTGTACCAGCTCCTCAGTGGACAGTTTCCTGGCCCAAGACCCTTTCCAATTGTCGGCAACCTACTGCAGTTGGGCTTCACTCCAGACGGTAAGTGGAAATGTCAGAGGTCAACATCGATTGCCAGAGCTCTTTGGAGTTTAATTGGCCATACGATGTTTTATTTTTATTTATTTTGTTTTTTATTTTATGATTTCGTACATATCTATATGATCCGACTGGTTTTAGCGATGTTAATTAAAAGTCTGGTTTTCTTGTTGCTATCCCCGAAAGTACAATTATTAATATGTTCGATTTAATCGTGTTGTTAGCGCCTTTTGGCATTCAGTCTGGAATCTGGTTGCTGCTGTCATCTGTAGCAGTTTATGTATGTGCAAGAGCAGAAAAAAACCTCTTGTTTACCTGCTCGAATCAAGTTTGTTATATGATTCGTGCAAATGTTAAATGCGTCTCTTCGCTGTGTATGAGTCTTGTACGTTTGTGAGCATGATGATGATGTCCTGAGAATGGGAATTTTGGGTATGTTTTGTTAATGCGTGTGTAGTACTGTAAGGATGTACACATCTTACATTTATTCAGTAATCGCATATATGAATCTCAGCAAATGTGAGATTTTTGCTTAAAAAAATTAAACAAGCAATAATAAGAATGGAATAGCTAAAAAAGGGCTAGAAAAAAATAGAAGAAAGAGAAAAGAATGGAAATGGAACGAGGCTAATAAAATAAGAAAGGATATGGTAGATATGAATAGAGATGAAACCAGTAGAAATAGAAATAAAGGAGAAGAGAAGAACCGAGAAGAAAGGATAAAAATATCATTCTTGGCTTACACACATATTTATATCAAGACCCAAGGTAGCCCCTAGTATGACTTATTAGCCCTACTCTAGTTCAGCAGTCCATGTCAAGGCTTAGCGTAGCTAATATTCTGGCTTATTACCCCTACTCTGGTGCACGCTTATATGTTTCAAAATGTTTATTGATGCTTTATCAAATTTGAGTATTTTGTACATCAATTTAACATTAGTTGTCGAGGCTTTAATCATCGCTTGAGATCTATAAAATATCTTCAGAATGGTATATAAATTTAAAAATAATATGAGTCAGCTAAACTTTTGTGCTAGACATATAAAAAAAATACAGTCGAGTCTCGATTTGTACCCCGCTATATCAGAAATAGCAATAAATCGAACTCAATTAAATTCCCTTAAAAAATTCGTTCTCGATAATTTGAATTTCTGTGTAATTTGAAAAAACTAATCCCCTTGCCATTTTAAATTTTTTGGACTCGACTGTATACAAATTGTCCAATGCAATGCATTTCTTTTTTCAAAAACACAGAATCAAAATAATATTATTTATATATTCACAAAGTATGAATATTTTGTCTTTAACAAGTCAGCTTAACTCTGCTAAATATAAACAATTTCAAATTAATTCAAACGATAAAAAGAAACTTTTTTTTTTCGTTTTTCAAAGAATTTAATTTTATTCCTAAATTATCTGAAAACAACAGAAATAAATTATAATCAATAAGAGTGAATTGTTTGTCAATTATTTATGCTATTATCATTTCTATACAATATAGCTGATTTAAACAATTAAAATAATTTCTGTTATTAATAGAGTAATCAGCCTTAATAGAATGATTGCAGCTAATTACTAGTTGTAAGTTGAAACTGACAACTAAATGGCTTGTTGATCGTAAAGCAAACATTGAACCCTATATAAATAAAGAATATTGCAACAATTGAGCTTAGCTGAGCTCAGCTTATAATATTTCTGTGTATTTGAAATTAAATACAGTTTGCAAGCTGGCGCGCTGGCCTTAACCTTGACGCTTCGCTTCGGCTACTGGCAACTTATTTGTTTTTGTTATTCACGAATGTTATGCAAATCGAAAGCGAAATTGAGATTGAGATTTCGAAAACTCGTTGTCGCTTGATTAGCTCAGAATACAGTTAGCAAAAATTTTTTTTTTTATGGATTCATTAGAATATTTATCGCATGCTAACGAATGTCGCGATGCGCGAGCTGAAAAGACTGGAGCGTGACCCACTGACTTCTTAGAATAACCTACAATGTTCAGAAAAGATTTCAAGAACTGGAATATGAATTTTTTATTGAACGCTTAACGTCTGCTACGTGAGCAAGAAATAATTAGAGAGAGGCTCTATGGCTGATAATTTCTATTAGAGTTGTTCCTTGCTGGGATGGGCAGCGATCCACTCAAGAGCGCGCTGGATCCCAGCCGGGATTGGGGGAGGTGTGGGCAACAGGTCACTCTGGGGCTGATAGCCGTTCTCATCGGCCACATACGTTAGAGAGACGGGCACACCTTCGGGCGAGACCCAGCTGAAGGTGCCCTTTGAATTGCCATGCTCATCTCCGCTCTGCTCGATCGCAATGCCATTGCTGGTCTTAAGAAAGATATCGAAGCCATCGGGACGCACATCGTCTTTGCGCTCAAGTGTCTCAGCATTCTCATCGAGATCCACAGCGGCAACCAGGCCAATGAGAGCGACAACCAGCAGCTGAAAGATGATCAGTTCAATATGATTTGCGTTTATGCTTCTTAACATCCTCTCATATACTCACATATTTGAACATTTCGAGTGAGTTAGCTGCTAAACGTATAATACGATTACTGATGATCCACGCCAGCTAGACGTTGCTTTTATACTAGCTACTCAGACCTGTTCGTCTGTATCAAATATGCAAATTTCGCAGCCAAAATAAACTAATTAATTAACTAAAACTGAGGAGTCATTAATTGTTCACTGTCGGGAGAATAGCGATCTACATGATTGGCGGGTTCTTGGAGTGCATATGAGGATACTATATGGAATTCTAGATTCTAACAACAGAAAAGCTACCTGAATTCATGCATATAGAGTCGACTAGTAGAATAAGAATTCATAAATGGAAAATGGAGAGTGTAGAGAGATATATGTATATTGATTATCATATTTTTTAAATGCAATAAAAATAAATCATTTATTAATTAAATTGAAATATATAAGAGAGTTCTGAAATTATTTGTTAATTCAAATAAAATAAAAAGAAATTATTTCTCAAGTTATTTCTTAAGTCAATAAAATAATAATATATGTGATATTTTTTACATATTAATTGAATTAACATAATTAAAAAATAAATAT